TCCTAGAGTACCCGGTCAAGTGCCCGGTGCACACCCCTTCAAGAGTAACCGGTCAAGTACCCGGTTATATGATGCAAATCTCATATGATAACTGGGTTAAGTCCCAAGAGTGGAAGGGTTAACATAAGAGTTCTCGGGAGGGTTCTAGGAAAAAGAAGGCCGGCCCTCTTCAAATGGAATGGTCACCAATTAAGGAGGCTTTCATGGTCCGGTCGCATTCCTTTGTGCCTGGTTGAACTTCTTGAATGGTTAAGTTTCTTGCATGGTTATTTTCTTGCCTGGTCCCCCTTTGAAGTTGACTGGTTAGACTTCCCTCATAATGAACACATTTGACTGAACTGCCATGTCAACAAAAGTAACCGGTCTAAAACTTTAAGAATCATTTGAAGAATGTCTAGGTCTAATGGGCTTGGTTGACAATTTCCCAAAACATGCTTGCTTCAAGGTCAATAGAAGTAACCGGCCTAGGCTTGGTTAGGTAACATCTTGAAAGTGTCTAGGTCTGGTAGGCTTTGTTGAAAGCATCCAAGTCTTGAACTCTTGAAAATGTCCAGGTCACGTCCATGTTGAAATAAAATAAGTTTCCAGGTCATCTCATGTCCTGGTTTAATAGGCTAGGTTGAAAGTTTTGAAGGGCATTTTAGATGCGAGGCTTGAATACTTCCAGGTCATCTTATGTCCCGGTCTCGAGAGTTGAAAACGTCCAGGTCACTTTGTTTCTAGCTTGTCAGGTCGAACAATAAACGTCTAGGTTAAATTCGTCCCGATCAACTTCCAATGGCTTGGTTGCACTACGTAACCAGCACGATGTCAAATTTTCTGTCCAGGTGCCGGGTCAAAAATGTGACCGGTCAAAAAATATTTTCCCAGACTTATCTGATTTCATCAAATCCGCCAACTAAAAAAAGTGACCGGTCACTTTTCTCAAAGTTGACCGGTCAAATTTTGGATTTTTCCATTCGCCATTTCTGGTCATTCCAGAACATCAAAAGTGACCGGTCACTTTTGACTATGCCCTCTTCTTATATCCATCTGGCCTGTCTGTCGTGTTCTACCCCGACCTTGACCAAACTTCGATCGAATGTTCCAAAACGGCTTTCGTCTTAAGTCTCGACATCAAGACCCGACCTTTTCTTTGGAGATTTTGACCATGTCCTATGGTCGCGAACCCTCTCCAAGGTTCAGCCCTCTTCCAGGCAACACCCTTCTTCCAGGGCCCCTCTTCCAGGTTTTAAGTCTTTTAATGTGCCATTCTCTAATTATTAGGTTGATCTAGCCAACCTAATCTTCCCACATGGGGGTATGCCGGTGAGAACCAGCCCTCATCCAATCCTGCACGTCCATATATTATGTGTTCGGAAATTCTAGTCTTCCCTAGACATTCCGATCCACAAAGGATGGCTCATACAAGACGGTAATATTTTTTTTGGCATCTTTTCTAACCCTTCCCGACCAAAAAGTCGGTAGGGATCCATGTAAGTATGGATGCAAATCCTCTTCCGGATCCAGCCTGTCTCAAGGCGATACCTCAACATCAAGGCCCCTATCTCAAGGGTTTCTTTTTTTTTTGTTTTTTTTGTTTTTGCTATCAGCCCATGCAACGGTCTAAGTCCTAGACATCAAGACTGATCCGTCTACAGCAGGCTTAGCAATCTTGACCACATCTTATCCACCCTCTCTTCTTTCCCTGATCATATTCATGTGGGTGGATTCAAGTACTCGCCTATGGGTCTTCCTCAAGCCCCGTAACGAATATTTCACCCAATTCCCCTTTCAAGGTCATCTCCCTGAGCACGACCCTCACATTCCGGCAATCTGTCGTGTTGTGAGAGTCGGATTGGTGGTAGGTGCACCACTTCTCTGTCCAAGGCCGCTTGTGTTGTTCTCCTTTCTNAATCTTGACCACATCTTATCCACCCTCTCTTCTTTCCCTGATCATATTCATGTGGGTGGATTCAAGTACTCGCCTATGGGTCTTCCTCAAGCCCCGTAACGAATATTTCACCCAATTCCCCTTTCAAGGTCATCTCCCTGAGCACGACCCTCACATTCCGGCAATCTGTCGTGTTGTGAGAGTCGGATTGGTGGTAGGTGCACCACTTCTTTGTCCAAGGCTGCTTGTGTTGTTCTCCCTTCCTCTCATCCTTAATTTGGTGGACTGACCAGTCATATGTGGCCCTTGGCTTAGACCCTCCTGTCTGGTCATCCTTCTTCGGCTTCTCGGCTTTCACTTTTGTATAGCCTTCCTCCAACTCCTGCTTGCTCTTGTTCAGGACCTCCGTCTCGGCATACTCCCATGCTGTATTATTGGCTTCCTGATAAGAGGAGGGTGGCCTTCTACAAAATTCGGTGTAGAGGTCACCCGACCGGAAGGCATTCATCAGCAAAGACATGGCCATCTTATCGTCCATCTCTTCTACTTTATCGACCTCATCCCTCCAGCGCGTCAAGAATTGAGTCAAGGACTCCTTCTCCCTTTGTCCTACTGTGTTTAGATAGGTGAACTTCTTTCTTTTGATGCAGTTGTCCTGGTACTTCTTGCGGAAAACTTCGGCAAGTTTCTCAAAGGACCCAATCTTTCCATGGGGAAGGCCGTTAAACCATTCCACTGGTCTCCCTCTCAAGGATGAGAAGAAGAGCAAGCACTCCTCAGCATCAGTGCACCCGGCCATCTGTGCTGCATTGTGGAAGGTGTCAAGGTGGACATTTGGATCCTCCTTTCCAGTGAATTTCTCCACGTCCAACTTGACCTTCCGCCTCAATTTTTGTGCATGTACCCTGGCCGAAAAGGGAGATTTGGCTAGGGTGTGCTTTTTCGTTCCCACCTTTTCTTCCAGGGCACGTAGCTTTCTTGCTACGCTCCCTATCTTGTCCAGGTCATCCTCATCGCATGAGAGCCCGGTATATGTCGATGCCCTAGGCTGGCTTTCAGCTTCCTCCTCGTCTAGGTGAATCGTCTCAGATTCCCTAGAATAACGAGATTGGGCGGGACGATTCCCGCCAAGTCTTTCCATTCCGCTAGTCTGGCCCGTCTCAGGACCAAGACGTAGCTTTGCAGACTTGCAAGGTCTATCCTCTTTGTCCCTTAGGCGTATGAACGCCGAATCTCGGGTCTTGCTGGGTTTGGCTATAGCCTTACCCTTCCTTCTGCGGGCTGCCTCTTGCTCCGCCTCGTCAACTTCATGGATATTCGATGGTGCTGCTTCGTTCATGGTCCCCGTCAAATTCACCGGACGTATAGGGACCATCCTAGGGACGAATGTCGACGGGGTCGACACCGGAGGTACCATTGAACTCATGATTGGTGGCATCATGCCCGGATATGCAAATGGCATGAAGCCCCGCAGAGCTTGAGCATTTGCCGGGTCAGCAACAAATTGAGCCAAGCTTGTCGGATATGGCGTGAATGCCCTCTTCTAGGCGTTGTTATCGAGCCTGGGAACATTGTCGTTGTCGGCGTAGGAGTAGGGGTTGACATGATTGGGATCATGCCAATCGATCCTACAGCGGTGATCGGGGCAAAGGTCGTCCCCATGCTTGGCATCATCAATGGGATGGCAGGAGTGCTTTCACTCGCAGCCTGGCTTGACACAGTGTTGTGGTTGCTTGAAGACATGATTGTGGATATTTAGTGGGGGTAAAGTTTTGATCTGGTCGAAAAAACTTTAAAAATAGGCCCCACGGTGGGCGCCAAAAATGATGGTGTAAATATAGATTGGTGGGTTGACCGGGTCGGGTATAGGGATATACCCATCACCCCCGATATTAATAAAAATCCTCCGTTGGCAACGTACCGCAAAAAAAGGCCCGTGGTTTTCTCCCAATTAGATTCCCACGTCAAAAATCTTGTGTTTATATTTTGGTGTATTTTGTTAGACTAGTTTATTGTTCTAGCCCAGTTAAGAACGATATTCGGATCGAGATAATTTATACCATCATTTTGGCACCGGCCGTGGGACCCTGAGCAAAAAACCATCATTTTTTATCCTTCAATCCCTCTTGCCATACGGTGGGGTTGGAGATTTCAAGGTTTGAGCTTCAAAAAGAAATCATCATCTTACCATACAATGGGGACCCGAGCAAAAAACTATCATTTTTTTCAAAAAGAAAAACACTCCCCAAATGGGGATACTATAGTGAGAGGGAGGATATCTCGATCTGGGGCAAGTGGAACAGTGTAACTATCTCTATTTCAAGTTTCAATTCAAAAATTCAGTTTCGAATTAGCCGATTGCCCCTGTGGTCTAAGTCTGTCGACCATCAATCTCAATTCCAGAAGCTTCCCATGCCGCAAACCGCCGAAGCTGCCACCGGCTACCGTTGCATCGCCATTGAGTACCGTCGCATCACCACCGGCCAAGTTGAACTGCCCTGATACTTATTTTATTCTTCACTGTCAACTACCTGCGCGCTGGTCTTCGATGGCTCTAGCCGCTGGGCCACCATTTGCTCCACCACTCATAGCCTTTTCTCGTCTGCCTTCCACGACGACGACACGTCTTGTGAGAAGCAGGTCCGTGCGTCGTCCACTCCAATGGGTGCTCTGTTCTGGTGACGCCGTCGCCGGCTTTGTCAGGTCCCACTCTACCCTGGCACTTAAAAAGTGAGGCGAAGATGTTGGGACTGGACATTTTTAACCCCTTAATAGGAGACTCACCACCGCCGGCTCAGGAAGATCGTGTCTCGATATGCCCTGTCTTCAACTTAGGTGAAGCAATACGATGATGGACTAGGTCGGGCGCGCCGCTGGTTACCGCCATGGTCTGAAGTTATCAACCGTCGCTAGTCCCTTTTCGTGATTGAGGAAGAAAAGGAGAAATTTCAAAAATATGTGTTGTGCATCTATTGACTCATTCACATGTATGAAGAAGATGGGGGCCCATCAAACTCAAATGATTTAGAATAGGATTTTTGAATACTCCATACGGATGGAATTATACAAAGGAAATGAGGAGGATCAGAAATGATAATTATCAGGGGCCCACCACAATCAAGATAGGATGTGTAAGATCTATAATAAAAAAGATCCACAACAATGGAAATTTGGGCCCAGTGGAACCAGCTACGCAGGCGATATGTATCACACATACTTTAGCAAATTTTAATGGAAGACTGAGACACAGGCCCAGCTTGGCACGCTGGTTGCTACACCGGTCTTGCTCAATACGATTACAAAAAAAGAAAAAGAAGATTGAGACACAAGCCGAGCTTGGTACGCTAGTTACGACACCGGTCTTGCTCACTATTAAAAAAAAGTGGAAGACTGAGACACAAGCCCCGCCTGGCACGCTGGTACTACACTTGTCTTGCTCAGTATAATAAAATATTAAATATGTGACATAGGCCCGGCCTGGCACGCTGGTAAAAATTGTTCTTGTTCAAATCCAGGCCAAGAATGATATACACACCAGTCTTGCACATATTTTCTCGTAAGTCTGAACCCAATCGAATTGGGTACACCAGTGTCTCAGCCGAGCTCATATCGGGGACGCCCGATTAGTCAAGCCTTTTTTATGAGGCACTCTAAAGACAGTCCCTACATGGCGTGATGATACTTGCATCAAATAGCCGTGCTAACATCGATCTTCGACAAAGCTGCTGTTGCGTACTTAATTCGTATTAAGTAACATTGATCACTTCGATATACTAATTTCGCTATACATCGTTTACATGGTTCATACTAACATCGGTCTCAACGAAATAACTAATTGAGGCACCGTAGCTTCATCGTACTAACTCCGGTCTCGTCAAAATTAGATAACTATTTGAAGCACCATTACTTCATCGAACTAACATCGCTCTCGTTACGATAGTTATCCGCGCGTATTTTAATCACCCTAACACGAGCTCCTCGGTAAAGATAATAATTATTTGAGCACGACATAGGTCGATAACAAAAATGTTGTACGTATTATCCTTCTATATACAATGGTAAGAGCACCTTATGAACAGTGTTCCCGCCAAATTAAATGGACCTGTTTACTGGGCTTAATTATGCAAGGTAATGGGCTGATATTTCTGGCCCATCAAAGATTTAGTTTACTGTAAAATGTCAATTCTGAAGTCCTTGGATAAAGTGAGCACGGCAGCAGTCCTTGGAGATTGGGAGCACGCAGCAGCCTTTGGAGTGTGTGCCATTAAAGCAATCCTTACTTTTATCATTATTATCATGATTATTTATTGAGAGATGTGCTTGAATTAAATAGGTGTAATAATTAACATGATTCACCAAATCTTTTTAAACTTCTGCTTGCACAAGACTATAGTATAAATATGAACTACATCTTTAATTTCAAACTCATTACAAACTTCATTTGGTTTTTTGCGTATTTTTGTTTTTTAATAATTTTGAATGCAACCTATACCAAAAGTTTCTATTCTCTGCCCTCCAGGTACTTCTTCCCACTTTGAATGACATCTTTATTTTTCCTCTCGAAAGAAATTATATGCGTAATAAATTAAGTGAAATTGCATACTTAAACTGGTGAAAACCATATGTAATACTCTTAATAATCGTTGCAAATTCTTAAACTGCAGAGTAGAAAAATCAATCCCGAAGGATGCATTCAACACTATTTCACACAATAAAAATCTATAGCATTGCAGTGAAGAACTAAATCATCCATAAAGGTAGTTTGAAAAAATCATACAAGTATCAATCAAAAGAGTTTAAATGAAGGATTTCTCCTTATACCTTAGAAGCAGTTTGAGCAAAAACATTGAAATAAGAAGAGGAAAGTAGAAGAGAGCATTTTGAAAGATCAAAGTATAAGACAATTAGTTCAACTAATGTTTTTGATGTGCTAAAAATCAAAGCATTGAAAGTAATACTATAAAGCCACTTTTTAGCCCAATCTTTAAAACTTTTATAGTTCCAATGAAGGTTGGGCACACTCATTCTGAGATAAAGTGGAGCAAAAAGATTTGTTCAAGAAAAAAATTGTAACTTTCTGTTTGCAAAGATAATTAAAAGGACATTGGATATGAATTTATCACAAAGATTCAAAATAAAAATAAGATCCTTTTAAGAAATGAATGATTGAATTCAGAACACATTTTTCAAAACTTTGAAGTATTAAATCTTTGGTAATCAATGCTTCATCCCCTCAATTTTCAATACTTCAATTTCAATAAAAAATATTGTAATCCATATTTTAAGTGTAATCACATTGAAAAATCTTCACTACAACTAAATCAGAGCATCCAATCAATGGAACAATGACATACATAAATTAAACACCAATTTTAAACAAAAAAGTTTGAGTCTATCACGGAAAGATAAATGGATTTAAAAAATATACGGAGTATAAAAAAAGTTCAAATAGAATTGAAAATCTCACATAAGTTCATCTGATTTCCATAGACCAGACTACGGAAGCGGAACACAAATGATAATGTGGTTGATTACCCCAAAATACCCACTGCCGCCAACTTTTCTAACCCTCAGTAACCCTCCATCACTTTCGATTTGTCTTAGATCTGCCCACCATCAAAGCTGTGTAAGATGACAACACTGTAGGTATTAAAAAGATCTAATATTTTGGGGTGGAGAAAAAAAAGTGTGACGTTTTGACGAAGACAGAGGAGTAGATCCGAGATCTTGACAGTGTTGGAACTCGGAAGAGCGAACCTAAGGTTTTGATGGCAATGGAAGAGATAACTTGACGGCAGCAAAATAGTAGATTTGGCGATGACTTGGCAATGAAAACATGAGTTCGGCGGAGGGGCGACGGAGGGGCGTAAGGTCTGAAGAAAGAAAAAAATGAAAGTGAAGATAAAAAGGGGTAGATCTACTGGAAGAGGAAGAAGATTCCAGAGAGTGATGGTAATTGTGAGATAAATGTGGTGGTTGTGGTGGGGAAGAAGATTGACACTAACACAAAAAAATTGCCAAACAATAAATGAAAAGAATAGTGCAAAATAATGTACTCCGTAAAAAATTTAGGGGACACTAATAAGGAAATAATAGAGTTTGTCCTAGAATGTTTTTCAGTACATTTTATGTAAAACGAAACAAAAATTTCAATTTTTTTAATATTCATTTTATTTAATAGTTGATAAAAAATTAAAATTAAACTTACACATTTTAGAACTGTGTCAAAAGTTCTACAAAATATTAGGTGACAAAAAGATTTTATTTTATCAAATAATTATTCATACACAAATAAATAATAGTTTCGTGACTTTTTTAGACAGAGAAAGTGTATTTTAAATGCGGAAGATGGATAGAACAAATCATGAATATGTTTTGTGAATTAGGTCTCATTTGGCATCAGCACTAGAGGCTAGCGTTTTGAAAAGTATCTAATAATAGCTTATTGCGTTAACATTTTCGGAGTTAATTTACATTGTTGAAATTTTATCCAAAACACTAATACTAATTGAAACGCTCTTTCAAAACTTGACCATAGTTTATTTTGTAAGAAACTCTAATAAGTTTATCTTTTATAATTGATTTACAATGTAGTTTATTTTGTGAGAAAAATATTCCTTTAATATGTTCTGTGAGTTATTTTGAAATGTACAAATGGGAAAAAAATGGATCCCCTAAAAATTGGTTGTATCTATGAATGATATACAATATACTTTGTTTATCGCAGTCTTTTCTATAACATGGTCTCATTGAAATATACTCCTTATTTTGTAGAGCAGTAAATTTGTGCAACCACTTTAATATCTCTAATGTAAATATAATGTGTTGTGTAACATTTAGTGTTTATTCTCTTTCTATTACAGAGAATATGAGTGTAATGTGTCATTGAAAAGTGGTGCCAGTAAAAAGATTAGGTATGAAGTATTTTCGAATATCACAAAGAATGTAATTTATAAAGAAGCATGGTAGAATCCTTACTTTCTTATTAGTATAGTATTTTGTAATTATCTTCAACATTAATATGTAATGCTTTATATTGTGAGAAGTGGATCAAATAATATGTCTTTTGTATGCTTTCTCTATATAATTTCTATTTTTTTCTAAAATACTCCCTCCGTCCCAAAAAGAA